AGGAGATGTTTAGGGGAGCAGGATGTTTTGTGCTCCTAGGGAGAGGACCTAGGGCAGGGGATGCAGAGAGGGGCTGAGGAACCACCTCTGGCCAGTGTGGGGCAGGAGTCTATGACACAAAATCCCATACCTGGGCTGGAGTTGGTGACTTAGCACCTCACTTTCTGACGTTTGTACCAGTGTCAATGAGTGAAGGTCAGGAGACAATAGCTGGGAGGGCAGATGGGCTCTTGGGGCTCATGAGCTTGGTGGCCCCTGTTTTAGGTTCATGTGGCTGTCTAGTCCTTGCCAACCTCCTAGACCACGGCTGCCATGACAACCCCACCCACTCCTCCTTGGGTATGACGTCTGTGGCCTCCAGCAGGGCCAACATCCTGAGTACGGGCTTTGTGCCAAATACAGAGGAAAGGAAGAAGACCAGGACAGTGCGTCAGGGGCTCAGGCCTGCTGGGGGCCGACGTGTGATGACTGCACGGAGTCCCCAGCAAGGGCCAAGTCAGCACCAAGGGCGCGGGCTCCATGCATGCTGCGGAGGTGGGAGGAGGGGCACTTAGCAGGCTCCAGGGGACGCAGTGAGTGGTAGTGAAGGGGACAGAGGCACACCAGGCTGAGGAAGCAGGGGTGGTACTGAGCGCACTGAGGACCTGGCAGGGCTGAGGCTGGGAAGTGATGTGTCCTGTGCTTAGGAGCCAGCCCCAAACCTTTGCCCTGAGAGCCCTGAAGAAGTCAAGAAAAAGACTCACAAATTCCCAGCAGGCATCCTGCTCAGGTTGGCTCTAGAAGGTGCATGGACCCGTGGCTGGGACTGTCCTGAGCTGAACTTGCTCTTTGTGGGCTTGCCTTGCCTGGCTCAGGCTCAGAAGTGCCCTCCGTGTGCGTCCCACCCCGATCTTGCTGGGTCCTGCAGCTCAGCAGGGCTTGAGGCAGGATGGGTAGGGAGGGAAGGGAAGAGGAAGAGGAGCCTCCTCTTTAGAGGGTGGTGAGTGCTGGTGCTGGGTCCTGTCCTGGAGGAGTTTACTCTGAAGGGGTCACTTCACTGGGGATGCTGTTGGCCTGCCCTTCCCTGGGACTCCCAGTGCATATGTACACAGGGTGACAGTGTGTGTGTGTGTGTGTGTGTGTGTGTGTGTGTGTGTGTGACTAAAGAAAACCAGAGCTAGACAGTAGTTAAGAGTGGTAGAAACAGATTTCATTCAGAAACTATTGCTTAGGGGAGAAGAGACCTGGGTATAGGTAGAGCCGAGCTGAATTCCAAACACAGCCTGGACAAGTGGGGGTGTACAGCCAGGGAGTGGGTGGGGGGCTGCGGAGGGGGAAATACCAAAAAGGAAACATGCAGTCCGGGTGGAGTTCTTGCTAAAATGTCCTGGCAGGATTCTAAAGGCAGGCCACGGTGCCCAGATGTGGAGAGTGGGGTGAAGAATTTGCCAGATATTGAGGTGGTCAGATTTTCAGGGTGGGGACTGAGTAGAATTCTCTCCAAGGCTGGGTGATGCTGGCCCTGCAGGAATGGCTTGGAAGCCCAAAGTGGAGACCTAGTCAAGAAGTGGGCTTGGTGTCTGACGGGAGTTTGGTCCAGGAGCGCGTCTGTGCATGCGCATGTGTGAGTGTGTGAGTGTGTGTGTGTGTGTGTGTGTGTGTGTGTGTAAGGGCGGGGAGAGTTCGGGGGTTTGGGGCTGGCCCACAGGGAGGAGAGAGCAGCTCCACATCCACTTCCCCTACCTGCCTTCCTTCCGGCAGGGCTCTGGGGACTGCAGGCAGAGCTGGAGGACAGCAGCGTTTGTCCTAGGGAATGGCTCCTGCAGGCTAGCTTTTCCAGGGAAGGCAGGAGATCATTCTGGGGCTCTTCCTCCCAAGGTACTGAGCAGAATTAAATCTCTGAGCTCAGAATTTCCAGCAAGGACTTTGGGAAAGACTGCCTTGGGCCCGGGAGGGCCACACAGCCTCTTTGCACCTCAGTGAACCACAGGGACAATCTCATAGCTCTGACTCGCTACAGGAAGAGCCTTGAGGAGACCCAGCCCAGCTCTGCCTCCTTCAGTCTGGGAACTGAGGATGGCAGGATGATCCTGATGGAGCTGGGAGAAATGGAGGTGAGGCCCACTGAGACTGGGAACAATGGGTTTGAAAGAGGAAATAGGAAAAGGCGTACAAGCTGAGACAGACGACCCATAGGAAAGGGACAACATATTTGTACAGGTGAGGTCAGGAGGAAGAGAGAGGCCTAGGCAGATAGGGAAATAGCCCCCGAGCAACTTCCTCGGCAGCAGAGCACAAACAGCAGCTGCTGGGTTTTGCTGAGAAACTTACAAAAAGGTTATTTTTAAACTGGGACATACGTGACCTGGAGTCCACGGCCTTTCCAAAGAAGGAAAACGCCGGATCAATACTTTGATTGGACTAAAGGCTGAGTGAATGCCTCATGGACATGAGCGCTTACCCAGGCTTGGGCCAGAGGCTGACTTCCCCCAACCACAGATCCACAAAGGCCCCTGGACAAGAGTCCTTACTGGCAACCCTCTTGGGTCCCCCCCCAGAGGCGGCAGCTTTGCTTCATTTGCTTTATTAAATTCTTATATTTTGTGTTTACTGGCTGCTGTCTGTGAATCCCATTCTTTGAATTTGCAAGAAAAAAAAAAATCTACTAGACTCCATGTTCCGTGCCACACAGGCACTACTTAAAAAGACACACATGGCCAACGAGCAGGTGAGAAGTGCTCAACATCAGAAGTGATCCGAGAAATGCCTGCTAAATCCCCAAGAGACACCCCCCCATTCACCATGGCCAACCTGGAAAAAGACTCGCGAGGCCAAGTGAGCAGCCAGGGTTCAGCCACCATAGGGGCATTGAGAATAACCACTTTGACAAACTGACTGGTGTAACCTATTAAAATTAGACATGAGCAGAACCTGTGCCTCAGTAGTTCTACTCTGAGCTAAATGCTTGGCAAAACGCACACATTTAACATGCATAGCAGGACTGTACCTAATTGTCCCCAAATTGGAACCAACTTCCCTGTTCATCAACAGCAGAAAGGATTCATCTCTGGTGCTGCATTCATATAATCAAGGCCCATTCTGCAACAAAGTACGGTCACACCCAACAATATGGGTGAAACTCACAAACCATCATTAAGCCTGAGAAACAATATGTTGTGTATTTTTTTTTTTTTTTTTTGTGGTGCTGGGGATTGAACCCAGGGCCTTGTGCATGTGATGCAAGCTGAGCTATATCCTAGCATGTGGTGTGATTTTATTATGCAAAAGTCCAATGGCAGGCAAGACCAAGTTGTGATGTAGGAGGTAGGAGAGGGGTTAACCTGGGGTGGGGATAGAGGTTGGGGGGGCTATGGAGAGCTCCAGGAGGCTGGGGAGAGCTCCAGGAGGCTGATGGGGTTGTGATTCCCAATCTGGGTGCCACTTGGTGAAAATCCTCCATCTGTTCTTTTAAAAATGTGTACACAGTTTCATGTGTATGTGTTCTGTTAGAGATGGGGGTGATTTTCCCTGCCCTGGAAYTGGGGTGGACCGTGACTTCCTACACTGATAGAAGGTGGTGAAAGTGATGAAGTGACACTTCACAGGCTAGATGAGGAAAAGTGACCCGGTGTTTTAAAAGAGTATGTCATAGAAATTTTGAGGTTCAATAAGGCCAACAGATCAGCAGACAATTGCCTTTACAAAAAATTGGTTGCTTACAGCCCCCAGGAGGAGAGGGCATGCCATGCCATGCTGGGTCACATGGGGAAGCACCAGGTGGTCAGGTGGCAGAGGGAGCAGAGGGAGAATGTGAGCAACAGTCGTTTCTTGTGGTTTCCTGGGTAAGCAGGCTTAGGATTGGTGAGTTTGAATCATTTCAGCGGGCTCTGAATTCATATCACGGGTGCTGTCCCTAGTTGTTGGGTACCTGGCCTAAAGGKCGAGAGTTTGAAAAAGGAAGTGGTTGATGGGAAGGGCCCTGAGTTTTGTTCTGGATGAGTGTGCTGATGGGCAAGTCGGACTAGCTCTAGGAATTGGCTGACCTGAGAGGGTTGGTCCCTTCACGGTCAGCAAGACCCAGAGATGTCAACATATCCAATGCAGAAAAGATGGTTAATTTGTGCAGCTTCCACCATTTTGGGAGGCCTCAAGTTGTAGGTAAGAAGTCTAATTATCTGCAGCTGCCGTGCCGAGAAAGCCCAGGTCTCGTGGACAGGCCGTGGGCAGCTGCTTTGGTTGTAGCCCCAGCGGAGCTTCCAGCCAGCCTTGTGCACCAACCACCTCACATGGGACTGAAGTCCACCCTGGACGATTCCAGCAACTCCCAGCTTCTGTCTTCTCACCTGAGATTCTCAACATGGGGGAGCAAGGAGGGCCATTCCCACTGTGCCCTCTCCAGCACCCAGGCCCACAGAACCCAAGAAGGCCATAAAATGTGTCTTCAGCTACTATTTGGGGGGTAATTTGTTATATGGTGTTTTAGGCAGCTTTTTCGCTGCTGCGATCTAAAGACCCAACAAGAACAAACTTAGAGAAGGAAAAGTCTATCTTGGGGCTCAGGGTTTTAGAGGTCTTAGTCAATAGACGGCTGTCTCCATTCTGTGGGGCCTGAGGTGAGACACAACATCCTGGTGGAGGAAAGCAGCTGGGGACATGGCATCAGGAATGGGGTGGGGGACAGAAAGCGGGGAAGGGGAGGGGAAGAGGGAGGCGGAGGGGGAGGGGAGAGAGAGCACTCCATTCAACAAGGCCAAAATATAAACCTCAAAGGGACACCCCCAGGGACCCCCTCCTCCAGCCACACTCCCCCCTGCCTCCAGTTAGTCAGGGGATTAATGCACTGATTGGGTTAAAACTCTCATACCCCAATCATTTTCCATGGGCATGTTGCCTCGGCAAAAGTATCCATTATCACTACTCCAGGGGCATAACTCTACAGGTACGATATTACACATTTTTTCTTTTCTTTCTTTCTTTCTTTTTCTTTTTTTTTTTTTTTGGTCTCTGCAGGGATTTCTGAGATGGCTTCAGACATGGCTGACCCAAGCAGTCTGCCCTACAGTGCCAACTCCTGCCTTCCTCACCTCCCACCCCGGGGGGCCAGTGTGGCGCTCTCTCTGTTCTACACAGTCCTCTTGGTCTTCAGYGCCCTGGGAAACATCCTTGCCCTTTGCCTTGCCTGTCAAAAGGACAAGAAGATCAACTCAACAGGTGTCTACTTGGTCCACCTGGCTGTGTCTGACCTCCTGTTCTCCTTGGCCCTCCCAGGGAAGATCACCTATTACGTGCTGGACTTCAGCTGGCCGTTTGGGGACGGGCTTTGCAGGCTGACGGCGTTCATAATGTACCTGAACACCTATGGGGGGGTCTACCTCATGACCTGCGTGAGTGTAGACCGGTACCTGGCAGTGGTCTGTACCCATCAGAGCCAGCGGCTCCGCAGCACTGGCCGGGCCAAGCTCATCTGTGTGGCCGTCTGGGTCTTGGCACTTCTGCAGAATGTACCCTTGCTCCTGACCCCTATGGCCAAGCCCATGGCGGGCAAGCTGACCTGCATGGAGTATGTCAGCGTGGAGCCCATCCTCGGGCTGCCCGTCATGGTCCTAGCGGCCTGTGCTATAAGCTTTTGCATGCCGGTGGTGATCATACTGTTCTGTTATGTGAAGATCGCCTTGAAGCTCTGCAGCACAGCCCGGGAGAACCCCCTGGCCAGCGAGAAGGGGCATCCCCGGAGGGCCTGCCTGCTCACACTGGTGGTGCTAGTGGCCGTGGTCCTGTGCTTCAGCCCCTACCATCTCAACGTCATGCAGTTCATGGTGAGAGAGATGCTGGGACCATCGTCCTGTGCTGAGCAGAGGGCTTTCACACTGGCTCTTCAGGTCACCGTGTCCTTCATGAATGTGAACTGTGGCATTGACCCCATCATTTATTTCTTTGCCTCTACACGTTACAGGAAATGGCTTCTTGGCATTTTGAAGCTCGGAGCATCCTCTTCCTCCTCCTTCTCCTCCTCCTCCCCAGGAAGAGCATCCTCAGAAACACAGACTGGAGGCTCTGTCACCATATTGGAGAACCAGGTCTAACCTGAAACTGGCTGGATGACCTGTATAGAGCAGGTGCCAGCACTTATAGGCCTGAAGCTTACACAAGTTTTTTTTTTTTTTTTTTTTAATGGTGAGAGGGGGGTAGGTAGACTCTTTAAAAAAATAATGCAAAATAAGAAATACAGGTTGAGTACTCCTTATTTGAAATGCTTGGGTCCAGAAGTGTTTCAGATTTTGGATTTTTTTGGGGAACATTTGCAGATACATGAAATATCTTGGAGATGGGACCCAAATCTAAACATAAAACTCATGTATGTTTCATATACAATTATATAGATAGCCTGAAGGTAACTTTCTCCACCATTTTATGCATGAAATGAAGCTTCATGGTGTGAAATTTTCTACTTGTAGCATCGTATGGCACTCAAAAAGTTTCAGATTTTTGGAGCATTTTGGATTTCAGATTTTCAGATTAGGGATGCTCAATTAGTACAAATTAGTTCCAGAATCTTGGACGGGACCATAATTGAGGTGCTCTGAAGCTTAAACTGCATCAGCCTGGGGAAGAATGTGCCTCTCATGCTCTCTAGGGACTGACAGCGGAGCTCCTCAACCTTTGACAACATACATGGCTTTTTTCTAGGAAAAGAGTGTTTCCACAGTAAACACAGGCAAGAGTGAAAGAATAGGCTGAGTTCTAGGTCAACAGTGTAGAATGTTTCAGATTTGGGGAGGTGAAGTGTTATAAAGAGCAAAAGCATCTTCTGTCTCCCCCCAGAACTTCTAAACGTTTGGAGCTAACATTTACTAAATGCCCAGGCTGTTCTGCAGAAGTCAGAGGAACAGGGAGGAGGTCCGCGGGGTGTCAGCGGGGCACCCCTGCAGAGGCCAGGGAGCGCAGCCCCTGGTAAAGGACCTTGTGATTTCTTTTGCATGGTTCAGCTGTGGTTCAAGGACAAAGCCTTCATGTATTGCTTACGTGACTGGGAACCACGTGGGGCAAAGGGAAGAAGCCACGGAAGCAGACGTAGTTGTTTCACATTTGTTTCGTGTGTGTCGGGCTGGACTCATCTATTTATGTGCTATTCCTGTTAGATCTCCTCAAACTTCATTGCAACCTCACGAGTCTAAAACAGTTCCCAGAGCATTTGTACCTGGTCAACTTTGCTTTTTGTATAATAAAGCTATGCTCCTCCCAGCCATGGTCAGTGCGGATGTCTATTTCAGCTACAGGCCCCAGTCCTTCCTGTTCATTGCCAGCATGGACGTCCCCTCTCCTGGACAGCCCCTCACTTGCCCTTCTGTCCCTCCAATGCTCAGGGTTCCAACAGGGTCCTCTGTGAGTCTCCCAGTCAGTGTCACCTGGAATTCCCTTCTGGTCCTGGAAGTCTGTTCTGTGCATCTCGAAGTTTTGGACCACATTTTAGACACTTAAGTCTCTTTCATGTGCTTCTGAGTGGACAATGTCTCATCCTGTGATGTTGTGATATGAGAAATAGATGCTTGGCTTTTTCCCTGGTGCCTGGCACAGAGTTCCTGAAGTCCCTGGAATCCAGGGTGACAGAGGAACATCTTTTGTTATTCCAGCCTCGTCCCTGAGATGATGCTGATGAGGTGACCCTTGCCAGGACCTTGAGGGTGGGGGCTGGTTGCTGGAGGACCGAACCCTGTGATTGGAGGATGGGAACTATCAGTCCTAGCAGCTGACCTTCACGGTGCAGGGGCAGTAGGGGGTGGGCGGAGCCAGAGATTGAGTTCAGTCACTAGTGGCCAGTGATTTCATCAACCATGCCTATTGGTGCTGGTGTGTCCCCCAAAGGCTCATGCGTTCAAGGCTTGGTCCCTCAGGCAACAATGTTCAGAGGTGGGGTTTGGGGAGGTCCTGGATCCTGAGGGCTCTGACCTCATTGTGGGTTAATCCACGGATGAATTGATAGCTGCGTGGATGATTGGGACGCGATGGAAACTGTATGAGGTGGGGACATTCAAGGGAGTGGGTCCTTGGGGGCATTCCCTTGGGGACAATATCATGTCCTYGGCCCCTTTCTCTTCTCTCTGTGCTTTTCAAGCAGCTCTGTTCCACCACTTTCTTCTGCCATCACGTTCTGCCTCATCACAGGCACAAAGCAATGGAGCCCGCTGACCATGGACCGAAACCTCTGAAACTGTGAGCCACAATAAACCTTTCCTCTGCTAAATCGATCCTCTCAGGTATTTTTGTCACAGTGATGACAAACGTACTAACATGCCTGTGTAACGGGACCTCCATGAAAGCCCCTTCAGAATTATCTGAACAGACTTAGAAAGAGCAGGTACCTGCTGAGGGTCTCTGGTGTTGGACTTTGGACATGGGGAAGGGAGCAGCTTCGGGACAGAGGAAAAGGTGAAGGTGGACTGGAGGAAGCATGGAGAGAGTGGCAGAGAGGAAGGTGTCATGTAATYGGGCCCCACTTGCCCCCAGAATGTCACCAGAGGGTCTGGCCGGGCCAGAGACATAGTCTCACAACAGCACCAAGCAGCCCCGCTGTTAACCACGCTCAGACCCTCGCCACCTGGGTTTTCCTCCRTTCTTCCACCACAAGTGTGTCTCTGATCTTGATGGCCTACTGAGATTTAACAGTGACATCAATCACCGCCACCCCCGTGACATTAATCACCGCCAGCTCCTGAAGATCTGAGTAGATCTGAGCAGAAGAGAGGATAGAGCTTTCCAAACAACAATTGCACCGAAGTTAAGCAAGCACACAAGACTTTACTCAAGACCATTGCTCTGGGGGACAGAGGCCAGAGCTCGATCAGAACGACACAAAGGGCTGGAAGGTTTTTAAGGGCTAAGGTGAGTTAGTGGGAAAGTCCTGAAGGGTAAGCAGTGGGAGTCGAAGGTCATCTGGGTTTGCTAGTTGGCTTTCTCTAAAGGCGAAATAAACACTCATATCTTTATAGTGGGAAGAAGTTTTGGAACTTGGGGCAGTGTGCCCACCCTCCCTCAGGGACTGAGAGTTGGGGGTGTGATCTTCCCTGATAACTGCATTTCAAAGAGGTGCTCACTGTCCTTGAGAAAGTCTTTGCTGGGTTGTAGAGGATCTACAAGCCAAAGACAGAATTTACAATAGCAGGTTTTCTAAAGTAAATGCACCAAGAGAGAGAAGGTCGGGGCCTAGAGTCAGGAAGAAGCCGGCTGAAAGCTTAGTCAGGTGAGCCAGAGGGGAGGCCCATCGTGGTCCGGAACTCTGGACATAGCCAGTGTTTGTTGGCACCTACAGGGTACTCAGTCCTGCAGTAGGTTCAGGTGGTACTGCCAATCTGCCGGTGACAGCTGCTCTCCCATTCACTAGTGTTTTCAACTTTCCAGGCCCTGGACGAAGCCATTCACGGGAATGATCTTTTTGTATTTCTCAGGACAATTCACATGGGTACCACTGTTACTGCCACTCAACAGGTTAGGAAATGGGGATACCCTCGAGTGCCACCGGGAGTAGGCAGCAGAGCTGGGGCTCAAATCCAGGCCTGTCTGACAACTAAGCCCATGTTCAAATTCACATTGGTCACTAATAGGTAGTGTGAGCAGGCCCCAAGCTCATGAAGACATTGGTGTGACCCATGGAGGGTCCTAGAGCCCGAGGCTTTGTGGAGCTGGTTCTGTGACAGCCTGCCCAACACAGTGGTCATTTGGGTAAGCTTTGGAACAAAGCTTCTCTAACTTGATATGCACAGGTACACATCACCTGGGTGGTTGGTAAAAGGCAGATTCTTCTAGATCTGGGTGGGGCCTGAGAGTCTGCATTTCTTTTTATTTTTTTWAAAAAAAAWTTTAATATTTATTTTTTAATTGTACACAATGCCTTTATTTTGTTTATTATTTTTATGTGGTGCGGAGGATCGAACCCAGGGCCTTGCACGTACTAGGCAAGTGCTCCACCACTGAGCCCCAGCCCCAGCCGGAGAGTCTGCATTTCTAACAAGCTTCCAGGGGATGCYGATCCTGCTGGCTGAGGGGCTGTGCTCTGAGCCCCGAGGTTTCAGAAGACATGAAGTTCAGATCTGCTGGGCTGTTTCCTTCCCTGCTTCATTCCCATACCAACCATGGTGCCTCGATTTTGTCTGCTCATTGGAATCATCTGGGGAAATTTTTTAAATCCTGATGCCTGTTGGGATCCCATCTCCAGGGATTCTGACTTAGTTGGTCTGTGGTGTGCCCAGGGCACTGGGGTTTTTCAGAGGTCTCCAGTGATTCTGATGTCTGACCCRTTTTGAGAGTCAGGGTCCAAAGGATAGAAGAGATTTGAGAGACATCTTGAAGGGGAAACCACAAGAGGACACCTTTATATATAATATATAAAATCTACATATAAAAATTGAGGAACAATGGTTTGGGGTGGGGACAAAGCAATGAAGGAAACAAACCCCGTTAGCTATAAATTCCAGCTGGACACTGGCAGGACTGATGTTTCTTTAGGGATCATCTGTCTTTGCTCTGAAGGCCTCCAGTTGATAAGACGAGGCCCATCCTTCACCCCAGTTATGGAGAGTACTCTGCTTCACTGAAGTCTACCAGTTTAAGTGGAACTGCAAACCAGACAAATGAATAAAGAATCCCTTCATTATGACATTTGCTCTAATGTTAGACCCGCTGGGCACCATGGCCGGCCAAGTTGACACATGAAGTGAACCATCAAGGTCAAATATTTATGGTAACCCAGTCCAAGGTGGGCTTGGGAGCATGACAGCCTGGTTTTGTAGAACAGGAAGTGGGGAGGTACTGAGATCACTGAGGTGGCTGGCCTAGGGCAGGGAGGTTCCCCTCACCCCTGTACGCCTTCATCATCCCCAAATGACCCAAGTCAGTGAGTCGTCCACAGACTTCTTGGAAAAAAAGTCGCCTTTCGGTTAAATTGCTTTGTTTGTTTTGCGGATGATGCTAATCTGACCATGACAGGGCACAGAGCAAGGTGGGACACCGAGTGAGGTGCCCATAGTCATCACTCGAGTCCCGCCAGTTCCCCTGTGAGTGAGGAGGACGTGCTCAGAGACACACTCTG